AAATACGCTCTCCGAGATGCCACCCCAGACCACACTATCTTTCTTCGAAGTGTTATAAAGGCGTGATGTACATTCATAAGTTGTGGGTAGTAGGTAGGGGTACTTATAAGAGTATGTGGGTACTAATGGACTCACAAAAGAAAAGAAAAGCAAAATAAACCGTGGGCCAACTGAGAGAGAAGACAATGTGAGCGGGTGCCACAAAAAGTCAATTAAGGGAGCATCTACGTGCAGCATGGGTAATGTGGGCCCCAGCTATCAGTAGCCCGTCACATTATCACTTACTTTTGAGAAGATCTACTGACATATCCTGTGGCTGTATTCCTTATACATGGAGGAGGGTTTTTAAAGGTAGTTGGCATGATAAATCCCTGAGACAAGTAGGATTAATACGCCTGGCAGGACGGAATTCCGCGACCCTGAGCAGGCGCTGCGTAGCGCCTTTCCAATCACAAATGGACGACCGTTCCTGATGCTCGTATTGCTTCATTTGCTAAGTAAAATATGAAGCGAAGGGATTGATATGAAGCGGCCGCGGTGCTGCATGGATATATGAGTACATACGTGCAGCCGTATCTACCGTAGCGGTTATTGGCAAGATGCCTACGGGAAACTCGTCCGAAATTGCTTTTTGAGTCAGAACGAAGGCTTTTCTTCGCAGGTTTTTGACCGTTTCACTTCGTTTTTTCGCCATTTTCCCCACTATATAGCGCCCTGCTAGCATTTTAGGCCAAGTACCAAATTATCGTGCCAACTGCCTTTAAGTAGAAGAGCAAGACAAAGGATTGAATGTAATCCTAAGTGTTCGGTAACACCATGCCTTGAAAATGTGTAGTTGTAATCAAATCATAACTTTCAGCTCACTACGGAGGAGGCTGCCGCTGCGGGCCGAGGCTTTGCTAACAAGGACGGCTTGCTGGGCACTGGCTTGAAATTTGAAGGAGAAAAGTGAGTTGCATTCATAGCACCCTGAAAAATGATTGACAAAAAATGAATCGAAGGCACGGTCCGCATCCATTTGGTGTGCAAATATCGTCTTGACAAGGAAAAGCGGTCAGAACAACCTCACTTTGCCGCACCGTCGCACGCGGAATTTTCTGGTATCCGTTGGCCTGTCATCAAATCTCGTGTAACTTACGGCAACGTGAACATTTATGAAACTTTCGTTCATGCATTATTGTCGTCATCTACGACCTAATAGAATGGATTGCACCGCGACGCGCACGCCAGCCATTCAGCGCGGCCGATTTACGATTTTCTTGTCCATTCAAAGATACGTGATGCTAACGAAGACCATCGCCACGACGGATCACGGCCAAAGCACGCCCAACTTCACTGATGACCGTACTGATGGCCTTGTTTCCCGTTATAACTCGTCTTACTCTGTATTAGAGTGAAGAGTTAATTGTAAAGCTGATATCTTTGGTACCAACAACTGAGAACTCGCCCAAGCATGCCTTCTGTCCGCATTGTGCTCATACAAGCACGAGTCCTAATAATGACATTTCCAGGAGTTTCAGACTGCTTTATTCTTCTCTTTTGAGTTGATTAGACCTTGTCATTACTACATTAGCCCCATAACCCACCATTTGTGATCGCACAATGTGCCCTTGTGTTCGTTAACGAATACTTTCTAAACCGTAAGTAATTGTGTGTAGTTTTATGTACATTCCTGTGCGTCGCTGAAGCCATGTAGACTGATCCAGACGCCATGGTAAATTCGCGGGTTCTGGGCCTATAAAGCGATAGAGCGGGAACAACCAATGTGCCACCCGTCTTTTTACGCTACCACACAGCTTTCTAGCTTCTGAAGTGTTAGAGACAGCGCGGTCTGTTCTCGTTTCTGACGTTTATTTGGAAAATATCGAAAAAACTCGACTTTAGTCAAAATTTTGCTTAGCGTTCGTTGCCAGTTTTTCAACACACTTCAGCACAATGTCGCTAATTTAAAAGACTCAAGGAAATCACATCCACAACCATCAATATCACCGCTTTAACTATTAGTGAAGGTGTACCTCCTACTTGGGAAAAAGTTTCATTTCTTTCGAAACGCAGATTCTGATGGCGGTCTAGAACTTCCTTGTCCAGAGCTCTCAAATTAACGCCCAAATCAGATTTATTCCGACATCATTGATGGTGGGAGATTGACCAGTCGTAAGAATCCCTATCTCGTTAGCAGGCTTGCCGTCAATACGGGTATGTGACAAGAGGATCGTAATTCACCGCGCTGGTGGGCGTCGCGTGCGACGTCGCGCCCGCAAATGACGATGGTTCCAGGTAGTAGATGGCGACAACAGTCAGACCAAGTGTCCATCCGGTCTATCCTAATGCTAAGATAACGGCGTCTACAGGATGTCCGGGTGCTCTAAACGACAGAATTAACACTAAAAAGCGCCCGACATTGCTGCGCCGCGCCCCCCCCCGGCCTTTCTTCTTAGAGCGGTAAATTAGATTCTTTGCCCGTTCACCGACATACAGCTCAGGACAAGGCGCGGATATGTTGGAGTACTAGTCCGGATTCCCGTTTTAAAGCCGTTTTCTGTGATATGTAATGGTAGATGGGCCATGATTATGTGATAAGCTATAGATGGGCCATGATTAAAGGCAGTTGGCACGATAAATCTCTAAGAAGAGTAGGACTGATACCGCCTGGCAGGATAGGATTCCGCGACCCAGGTGCTGCGTAGCGCTTTTCTGAGGGAGGCACCCTTAGAAGGGCCTATCGAGCTACAACATTACGACCCGAACGCCCACCACGCCCGCCCGCCCACAAATGGACGACCGTACCTGACGCTCGTATTGCTTCATTTGCAAAGTAAAATATGAAGCGGGATTGGTATGAAGCGGCTGCGGTGCTGCATGGATATATGGGAACATACATGCAGCCGTACCCACCGTAGCGGTTATTGGCAAGATGTCTACAGAAAACTCGTCCGAAATTGTCATTAAGGACGAAGGTTTTGACCGTTTCACTTCGTTTTTTTCGCCATTTCCCCACTATATGGCGCCCTGCTAGCATTTTAGGCCAATTAACAAAATATCGTGCCAACTGCCTTTAATGACTATTGTGTCCTTCCTGATGCTGCTCCCCTCTTTCTCCTTCAAAGATTATGCTCGTGAGATAGTGAGGAGGTGGAATAGTTATAAAACTGCTCCCGTTTTCTGCCCAAGCGGCCATCGCGTAATCCTCCGACCGGGTATGTGACATTGCCACGGAATTTGCCTTTGAACAGAGAACCCTACGGGCGATCATGCCGCGGAGGTTCTAGCCTGTCTAGATGGGCCAGACCCTTTCAACGATCTCCTCTTCTGATCATTTCGACACAGCAGAAGAGATTCTTATGATCGTCATGAGGCCTAGGTTAGTAATAGGCATAGCTAGTACCAATATCCACCACTAAGCCTTCGAAAAAAGGACGAAAAAGAGCGCGATCGCGTCATTTTTCGTCTTTTCGCCTAATCAGTCTCCGGTTACACTTTCTTAGACAGAGAAGTATGTACCGTAGACTCAGCTTCTTTAGTTCTACAAGACTATCCCTTGAAATTCTAAAAATGTTCAAATTTCAACTATGCCTTCCATCAAAGTACCTACGGGCACTCATTAGCGGGCGAGTCTCGCTATAATTGTAACCAAAGGGCAATCGTTGAGAGTGAGAGCACATTGAAATCAAATGAATTCCGCATTTTGTTGGAGATGATTGAGAACCAGATCATTGTGTTCCCCAAGTGATGCTGATCCTTACCATATCAATTTTTCTGAAAATAGCAGAACTTTACGGAAAGTCACTTTCGTACTATATTGCTTTTTCAATTTGAAATATCTCAAGCATCAGATGGGCTCAGACCACGAGAGCACAACAGTCCCGATCTACGCAGTTACCTTCTCCCTACCGTTTGCGAAATCGAAAGAATGAGTTTGAAAAAAAGGGTTTACAGCTACTTGAATGGAGGCCATCGTGTAATACAAGGACAAATGTTCGTTTTCGAGCGATTTGAAATGGGATTTGCAGGGCACTTAACTGTACAGGAAAGTTCATAAAAGAGCTACATACAGAATACCTTGTGGTCTTGAATAAACTTATGGAAAATAGTAGCAAAATTCTGAATGTTGGTTGTTATCTACTGTCAACTTCGTGTCTTTACTGAAAAGGAATTTCACGAATTTTTCATAAGAGGGAACCCCAATCAAAGTTATACAGTTCGAATCCCCATGAAAAATGCAGTCTAATCATGTAAGGAAAGTTGCTTAAAATTTTCTGTGGCCCCTCACGTTATTCTCCGGCTCTCTGGACGATCAATCGACCTCATAATTAGCGAGCCCAACGAGAGTGGACAAGAGCTCTATTGATCTTTTTCCTTAGTTTTGCCATTCAATATAGTAATTTCTTTTGTTCACTACTTTCTAGATAGTCCACAAATGCATAGAG